CATTTTATAGATGAGAAAATTGAGCCTCGAGGATTCTAAATGGCTTCTTGAGAATGGAAAGGCATGATTGAGCTGGTATTTCTATTTAAGCAACCTGAAATAAAATCCCATGGTTTTGGCCTCAACTCCCATCCCATCTTTCTCTTTCTTTTTATATGCATTGCTGGGGACCAAACCCAGAGTCTCACATGTGCCAGGCAAGCACTTTCCCACTGAGCTGAGCTACACCCCCAGTCCCATCATTCTTAAGTTTAAGTTTGGTTCTCAAACCTTTTCCCCAGAGAACCTCTAGTTAGTGAGGCTCTGGGAATGGAACTGGACATGCAATTCAGATTTGTCCAACACATGCACAAAATATTTCAGATAAGTCATGGTTTACTTTATAAAATTCTTGTGAATTGGGCATCCAGGCCATAATTCACATGGGTTTATTTTGAGGTTTTGTGTTAAAATGACTATATAATAACTGGAGTTCTCCTGGGAAAAGCAGCAAACATTTAGAGATGCCATACTGGAGCCTGCTGTCTTTGGGGATTTTTTTTTTTTTTTTTTTTTTTTAGGCAGGGGACAGCACTAGTTAAAATAACAGGGTCATCTTAAGACCTAGTGTTCCCCTGAGTTACAATGAGATTGTTCAGTCATAGCCCCCCTGGGCAAGAATCCTAGCTACAGGGAGAGAAGCCCAGTGGCACTGCATTGTGTGGTCCAGTCTAGCCACTTGTATGAATATGGATGGTTGGCTTTCTGAACCTCAATTTCTGGTCTATTAAATGAGTTAATTACTAGTCCCTGCCCTGCTCATCTGATGAGTTTTCTCGAGAGGTCAAAATGAGATTGGTGCACATAAAAGTGTTCATGAAGATGATTTTTTATTTTTTTAATTCTTTTGGTATAACCCAGTGGAGTGTTACTCAAGGCAAGAGACAGGCATCTGTCTTGCTGTGACGTTGACTCCAGGCATTGCCCTCAGAGCCTCAGGACAGCTTGGCCCCAGGGTTGTTCAGGGTTGGCCCTAGGCTCAGGTAGGGAGGCTGGTGCCACTTCCTCACACTGTTGCCCCTGATCGGAGTCCTCATGCAGAAATGAAGGATAGAAGTCAGCAGGACAAAAGAACAGCTGCGAGAGACCCAGCTGAGCTAATCCCTGGTGGAAGGAAGAAGGTCAGGGATGGGCTGCCCAGGCTGAAGACAGTGCCTGCTGAATGCCTAGTCTACACCTAATTGTCACTTTTCTAATTGTCACAAGACTCCTGAGAAGGGCACTTTCGCCACTGTTAAAGCTCAGGACACAGAGATGGCGAGTAGCCATTACTTGCTCATGGCCACAAGCTGCCACATGACTGATTTGTGTAGGACTCGGATTCCTCTTCAGTTGTTTATAAAAATGTGTTTCCCCTGACAGAGCCCACGTCTAACTCCAGGCATGAAACATGAAGTGAGGAGAAGTTCTTCCTGCTACCCAAGGCACCCATCCACAGGAGGCTGTCCGTCCCTAGAGAATGGTACCTGGAAGATGAACTTGGTCCCCAACCCCATTTCCAAGGTCATTTTAGGCTTGGACAGGACTCTTTCTCCAAGTGTCTGTAGGTAACCAGAGACTTTCTTGGGACCGAACCAGTTTGGCAAAACCAAGGAGGGGCCTGCAGAGTACCACACAGGGTGAGGCGGCAGTAGGTCTAAGATTGCAACAGGGTCGGAGGTTGATGGTGACATTAGGAAGAAGCTGACATCCCCCTGCCATCTGTGATGGGAGGTGAGAAGCTCTAGCTTCAGAATAAGGGCAATGCAGCGATCCCAGTGATTTGTAAGGAGGCACAACATTTGGGTCTCTGCAGTAAGAATTTAGAGTGGACCCTTCCTTCCCTCAATGCACTGACATGATTATAGATGTGGAGAAAGCCTTCTTTGCTGGTAGAGGAACCACTCAGTTTGTGATTTAACACTCAGCAACCACTTGCAAGGCAGGGAGAGGTCCCTGTGGAGACTGCAAAGACAAAACAGAATATGGTCCCCTCCTTGAAGAAGTGGTCACCGCATAGAATAGGCTGATTCCTCTGCATCCCTCAAGGTGACACACGTTTCATTTCTTATTGTCATTATGAACTCATGAATTTTATTTTATTTTTTTTTAATTTTTATTGTTGGTTGTTCAAAACATTACATAGTTCTTGATATATCATACTTCACACTTTGATTCAAGTGGGTTATGAGCTCCCATTTTTACCCCGTATACAGATTGCAGAATCACATCGGTTACGCATCCACTGATTTACATATTGCCATACTAGTGTCTGTTGTGTTCTGCTGCCTTTCCTATCCTCTACTATCCCCCCTCCCCTCCCTTCCCCTCCCCTCTTCTCTCTCTACCCCCTCTACTGTCATTCATTTCTCCCCCTTGTATTATTTTCCCCTTTCCCCTCACTTCCTCTTGTATGAAATTTTGTATAACCCTGAGGGTCTCCTTCCATTTCCATGCAATTTCCCTTCTCTCTCCCTTTCCCTCCCACCTCTCATCCCAGTTTAATGTTAATCTTCTTCTCATGCTCTTCGTCCCTACTCTGTTCTTAGTTACTCTCCTTATATCAAAGAAGACATTTGGCATTTGTTTTTTAGGGATTGGCTGGCTTCACTTAGCATAATCTGCTCTAATGTCATCCATTTCCCTGCAAATTCTATGATTTTGTCATTTTTTAATGCAGAGTAATACTCCATTGTGTATAAATGCCACATTTTTTTTTATCCATTCATCTATTGAAGGGCATCTAGGTTGGTTCCACAGTCTTGCTATTGTGAATTGTGCTGCTATGAACATCGATGAACTCACGAATTTTAAAGTAAGTGATATATCCTGGTCCAGAGTAGCCTTTTTTCTCTGTTGATGATCAAATTGTTCCATTTTTGGCCATGGGAAGCCTCTCCTAGTTGGGCTCTGAATATTTTGGCAAGCACCTCGTTGTCTGAGAGAATGTCCTTCTTTTACTGATGAGATATAATGTTCCAGGTTCAACTTAAGACAGGAATCAGAATTTCTCTAAGGTGTGATGTTCCTGGGAAATGGTAATTGGAGATTGGAGAGCACAGACAGGCTGGGCCCAAGCACTCACCACTTGGGAACTGGTGTGGCTTGGCTATGGTTTTTCCCTCAAAGATTCATGTTCTGGAAGCTTCATCCCCACTTTAACAGTATTGAAAAGTAGCAGAAACTTTAAGAGGTGGGGCCCCCTGGGACCTAATAAGGTCATGGAGACTACCCTTGGAAGAGATCTATGCCTGTCTGGAGGGAATAGGTTAGATCTCCTGGGACTGGATTAGTTACTTTGAGAGTAAATTATTATAAAGCAAGGCTGACTCTTCCCACTAGGACTCTCTCACAGACCTGCTGCTCTGTATGCTCTGCTTATCACTCCCATACACACTCCTGCCATGTGATATCATCTACCACATTATGATTCAGCATGGGGCCCTTACCAGATGTGGCTGCCCAAGCTTGGACTTTTCAGACTTAAAATCATGTACCAAATAAACCTCTCTTCTTCATAAGTTACCCAGTCTCATGTATTTTGTTATAGCAACAGAAATGGACTAGGACAGAAAATCATATAAATCCATGTTGGGATGATTGTCACCTGCAATTCTCCAAGTTTTCGGACCAGAGAGTTACAATGGGAGAACTACTTGAAAATGTACATTACAGTGCTCCACTTTCAAAAACCCTAATTCAGAGGGTCCGGGGTCAATGCCCAGAATCTGTTTTGAACATGATCCTCAATAATCCTCATGGGACTACCAAGAACAATTATCTCCAGCAGAAAGAACCCTCGGGAATGATTTAAGGCCACTGATGAGGTAGCAAGGAGATGAGTCTCTTATGAGGAGCAAAAACACCAAGAGATTGCCAATAGTCGCTACCTATGATATTTTAGGCTGCACCCTTGAGTCAGAATTTCAAGAAATCCATCCCCGCTTCCTTAGATAATTTTCTGTTTCCATTTTCATGAAGTGATGAGGAATGTGAATACTTTACTGATTTCTTTCAAAACGCAATTTTCTCATCATCTCAAATCTATTTCTGAATTAACTGACAATCTTCAGTTAAGATTGCTTCAGATATATGTCTTAAACCTCAGTACAACCTTCTTAGAAAAAAAAAAAGAAGAATCTTGGCATAAAACCCATGTGTCTTTTGTCTTTTGTGGTTTGGTTTGATGAACTCTCACTGAAACATGAAACCCACACATCAGTCTGGGTTAGGGAGGAACACAGGACTGAGTCTCTTCCAAGTGTGTCAGAGACTTTCCCATAAGTCTGGTCTCTATTGATCTGCCTGGGAAATTAGAATTTGTAGTCATTTCTGTTGCCAGTGTGTGTTGTTCTGCTTTTTGCTATTTCATAATCCAGAAACATACCAGCTTCTCTCCCATCAGTGTGGTATAACCCAGAGGATGAGGAGACAGTTGAAACCCTCGCATCATAAAACTTAAGTGGAATAAGCTAGGTTTTCAAGATTAAAATGGGCTATCCAATGAACAGTGACTGAACAAGACTTTCCTCTTCCCCCTACTTTCTCTCCTTCCCTAAAACTTTCCCAGGGACCTGATAACCTGGTATGTCCCAAGTTCAGGGAGAGCGTAATGCTAAGTGCTGGGTAGCAGCTTCTCTTTTGATAATAAGAAAAGGACAATTCTTCAGGGTTTCCTGATCATAAAATACAGAAGACAGAATTGTTTTAAACACATCAAAAGTGGGCTCTAAAATGATGGCTATCTCAGGAAATGAAGTTGGGTTCCTTCAGAGGAAGGATAATAGGATTTTCATTGTTTTTCTGAGCTCCAAGTACTTTGCACAGAGCTAATGACACAGCACATAACATGAATAGTAAATGTTGAAGTAATTGATAGATACTGTTTTTATTTATTTATTTATTTATTTATTTATTTATTTATTTTTGGTGCCAGGGATTGAACCCAGGGGCACTTAACCACTGAGCCACATCCTCAGCCTTTTAATATATATTTTATTTAGAGATAGGGTCTCAATGAGTTGCTCGTTAGGACAAACGATGCACCCATGATGGAAGGCAGGAGATGGGAAACAAACCTCGGATCAGCAGGCTTTTTTTATTCGGTATTTAGCAGTGAGTCAATTGGTGGAAACCTGGTGAGGCTCATTTTGGTATTTCATAATCCAGAAAATGGTGGCCTGCTGAAGCAAGGTCTGGGTTATATAGGCTTCCTTTAGGGTGGGACAGGAATATAAATAGGGTATTCCCTGGGGCTTATTGTATTGGCATTAATTGACCCATTAGGGTAGGAGGTTAGGTACCAGTCTGGTGGAGTTTCTTTTGTGTTCCTTGCTCTGGCTGAGGCCTGCGATTTTAAATGACAAAAGCTTAAGACAAATGTCCTTGGACTTATTTTCCATAACTCTTCATTGCTTAGGCCCTGGCTAAATTGCTGAGGCCATCTTTGAACTCACAATCCTCCTGTCTCAGCCTCCCAAGCCATGGGGATTAGGGATTATAGGCATGTGCCACCAGGCTTGGCAAAGACATGATTTTGATAGGGCACCAATGAAGCAGCATTATCAGATGAAGACACCAAGCTGAGTTAGAAGGACCCTGCCCCAAGCCCCTTGGAAGCAGAAGGGCTCACTCTTCTGTCATGGAACCATGACCTATTTGCAGTTGTTCACGGATTCTGTTCAGAGAAGAGAAGAAAGCATGACAATTGCTGTCCTACCCTTTCTTCCACTACCTTATACTGGTGGTCTTTTCCTTCTGCACATTCCATGAGATTAGCTTATTGAGAGGAAGACTATTATAGCATTTTTCCAAGTCAAAACCACATTGGCTGACTCTCTAGTCCAGGGACAACCCAGTGAATGGTGTCTGGTGGCTCCTTGAACCATGGGCCCATTCTATCCAGTGGACAGACCTGTGGCCAAGGAGCAGAAAGGCAACATTTGGCTTAGTGGGCACTGGAAGACCCTCTATTCCCAGACTCAGATGGGACCTGCTCTGTCCTTGAATACATCCAGCCTCAGGTGCCCGACTTGTGGAAACAGGATAACAGTAGTCTCAGGAGGAACAAAAGGTTCCCTGGGGCCTCTCCTGATACTCACTATGGCGGCCTTCACTCTGTGTTCTTCTTCAGTCTCACTTGACCGGTAGACTTACAGGTGAACATAGGTTCCTTTTGGAGTCCTCTTAGGTTGCATAGGTGAGATCCTTCCTCATAGTCACTTCAAATTAGGTGATGTCAGGTTCCTGTGCAGGACAGTATGGAATAGAGGCTATTATTCAGGGCACAAGACACTTAAAAAAAGAAGGAAGAAAGAAAAAAAGAAATGACTGGAGATGTAGCTCCATGGTAGAGCACTTGCAAGCCCTATGTTTAATACCCAGAACCAGAAAGGGAAAGGAAAAAATCCTCCTTGAGAAGGTTTGTTCTGAGCTTCCAAGGCTTGGCCTGAGACTTTGAAATGCCTTGGGAAAGTTTAGGAAATGCACTTGAACTCAGGACACCTTCATTACCATGAGAAGAGGAGTCTAGAAAGGCTGTGCTTTGGGTCTTTTTGTTTTTCACTGTAATTAAAGTATTTCTTCTCCACCTGAGCCTTATAATACAGGAAAACAAGCAAACAACCTCACATCCAGAAGACATTACCTAGAGATCATTTTGAGTTGGTCCTGTGCTCCTCACCAAGCTCTTGTTATCTCTATGGTAGATGCTCAAGTTAGAGTCTGCAGGCCAACACCATCATTCACCTGGTTGTCCCTGGGCTAGAGAGTCAGTCATTTTGATGCTTATGAGAATTTAGCCTATCAGGTCCCACCTCAGATTTCCTGAATCAAGATTTTCATTTTAGCAAGATCCCCGGGGAAATGCTTCAGAAGACACAGAAAATTAGATAAGGACACCCTGGGCTTGAGTCATGGGTCATCCATTTTTTACCTATGCATGTTGAACATTATGACCTCTCTGAGTTTGAGTCTTATCATTTAAATAATGAGTTAAATAATGAAAGTATTCATTAGAACCTCCCCCCCCCCCGTACCAGGGATTGAACTCAGGAGTGCTTAACCCTGAGCCACATCCCCAGCCCTATTTATTTATTTGTTTGCTTATTTGTTTATTTATCTTATGAGACAGGGTCCCACTAAGTTGCTAAAGCTGGTTTTGAACTTGTGGTCTTCTGCCTCAACCTCCTGAGTCCCTGGGATTACAGGCTTGCGCCACTGAGCCCGGCTTCAGCATGATCTTTTAAGGTAACAACAAGAGAAACAAAAGTCAAACAGACATAAGCAAGGAGTAAAGTTAGCAGGATTGCAGACTAATGTGCTCCCAGCCCGTTCCCACACAGAAACATTATAAGAACAAAAAGAGACTGGCTAAAAGAACTTTAGAGAAGCACTAGGAAACATTCAAATGTCTTCTGCAATCAAGCAAATTCCCAGTCAAGAAAAAAACCACATTCAAAACAATAGGGAATTGGATGGCATTTTTACTTGCCCTTGTTACACCCTTTCCTTGGCATGGTGTAGCTGAGGAAAGCCACAGCCCAGATCCCAATTCTATCTTGCAAACTGGAGGGAGCAAAAAAGACTTTGTTGGCAAATGTCACAACAAGTTTGGGAATGCCTGCCAAGAGGTCTCTGTATCACCTCACTCAGAGCTCAGACAAAGGAAAGTGCTAAAGTTTGGGTCTCAGGCTGGAAAAGGCACAGCAGGTGACAGACCACTGCTCACAACAGCTACAAGGGAGACTACACATCTGCAGATGCATAGGGGAATGGAGATGTGGATAGAGGAACAGAACAGCTAAGGCCCCCAGAAAAAGCTGGAGTGGGACTTCTCAGGAAATTAAGATATATAAAAACAGCTGTGTATATGGGAAGAATAGGGAGCAAACAGCACACACAGTGACTTAGAGTAGTGTTGTGCCCCAAAAAGACCTTAGAAGAGTTTATGTCTCCACCTTGGGCTGAATTCAAAGCTCAGAAACTTGCCCTCTTAATTAGTCAAATGTCTTCCCAGTCTGCAAAGACTGGGAGACATGGAGTCCATAAAAAAAAAAAAAAAAAAGTTGGGCATAGTGGTACATACCTGTAATCCCAGCTACTTGGGAGGCTGAAGCAGAAGCATGTCTAATCCAAGGCCAGCCTGGGCAATTTTGCAAGACCCGATCTCAAAAGTAAAATAAAAAGGGCTGGTGGCAGGGTGTAGTTCAGTGGTAGAGCACCTGCCTGGCATGTGTGGGGCCCTAGGTTTAATCCCTAGTGCCAGAGAGAAGGAGAGAGAGAAGGGAAAGAAGTAGCTCAAAGCAATAACCTAAATTTTTAACTTAAGGGATTAGAAAAAATAATAATAACCAAACCCAAAGTTAACAGAAGGAAAGAAAAAATAGAGTTTATAGAAGAGATAAGTGAGATAGAAAAAACAAAAAGGAAAATTAACAAAACTAAGAATTGGTTCTTTGAAAAGGTTGACAAAAAATGAGAAACCTACCACTAAATTAAGTAAGAAAAAAGAGAAGACTTAAATAATATTAGAAATAAAAGAAGAGACATTACAACTTTTTATTTTGCAGAAATAAAAAGGATTAAAACAGCAATGAAGGCCTGGGGGTATAACTCCATTGGTAGAGGGCTTGCCTCACATGCATAAGGCTGTGGGTTCAATCCCCAGCATCACACACACACACACACACACACACACACACACAAAATAAATAAATAAATAAATAAATAAAATAAACACCAATGAAATTGAGGACCCAGAAGTAAACTCTCATGTTACAGTCAAATGATTTTTTGACAAGTGTTCCAAGACAACTGGATAGGGAGAGGACATTCTTTTCAAAAACTGGTGCTGGAAAAGCTGAATATCCACAAGAAAAACAATGAAGTTGGACCGTACACCACGTATAAAAATTAACTCAAACAGATCAAAGACTTTAAACATAAGAACTAAAACTAGTAAACTCAGAAGATATTGGACTTGGTAATAATTTCATGATATTGGACTTGGTAATGATTTCTTTGCTATAACACCAAGAGCACAGGCAACAAAAAGAAAAATAATAAATTGGGCTCCATCATTTTAAACTTTAGTACCCCATTGATAAAGTGAAAAGCGAAGCCACAGATTGTAGAAACACTTGAAAAAATTGTACAGTTTAGTAGCATTAAGTACGCCCACATTGTTGTACAACCATCACCACCATCATTTCTAGAACATTTTAAATTTTGCAACACTGAAACTTTACACATTAACAGTAATTCCCTATTCTTCCCTCCCTACAATCCTAGAAACCACTATTCTACTTTCTGTTTCTATAAACTCAAGTCCTTTATGTACCTCATATAATCATAATCTGGTAGTATCCATCCTTTTACATACGGCTTATTTCACTTAGCTCAATAGCTTCAAAGTTCATCCATGTTGGGAGCTGGGGTTGTGTCTCAGTGGTAAAGTGCTCTGCTAGCATGCATAAGGCACTGAGTTCAATCCTCAGAACCACATAAAAATAAAATAAAGATATTGTGTCCAACTAAAACTAAAAAATAAATACATTTTTTAAAAAGTTCCTCCCTGTTGTAGCGAATGCAAGAATTTCCTTCCTTTGTAAGAAGGAATGATGTTTCACATCACCCAGACACTGCATTTTGTTTACTTATTCATCTGTTGAAGGACCCTTGAGAAGTTTCCATTTTTGGCTACTGTGAATAATGTTGCTAAGGATATAAATATCATTTTGCATATATCCCAATAAGCGGAATTGATGGATTTCATGGTGACTCCAAAGTTAAGTTTGCTGTTTTACACAGCAGCTGCACGGTTTTACATTCTCATCAGCAACACACAAGAATTACCATTTCTCCACGTCCTTGCCAACAATTGTTATTTTCTATTTTTTAAATAATAGCCATCCTAATGAGTGTGAAGAGGTATCTTACTGTGCTTTTGGTTTGTATTTCCCTGATGATTAGTAATATTGAGCATCTTTTGTGAGCTTATTGGATATCTATATATTTTCTTGGGGGAAGGTCTGTTCAAGAACTTTGCCAATTTTTAAGCCAGATGGCTTGTTTCCTTGTTGAGTGGTAAGAATTTCAAATGTATTCTGGGGATATAGCTCAGCAGTAGAGTGCCCCTGGATTTAATCCCCAGTACCAAAGCAAAACCAAAATACCAGGCATAAGCACAGACGGGATTGGTCCCATGTCTCAGAGGGGAAGGATGCTATGAGACTGGTCCCAGGGTCTTGGGGACCCAGATGATGTCTATAATATATCCCTGTCTTGTTTCCCCTTCACCCTCCTATTTCTCCTATACCCCATCCCCCAAATACTAACTGAACTTCTCTCTGCATCACGGCCACATGATGGTTCCTAATTATATAGTGTCTGGAGAACAGAGGATTTTTCTTGTACAAGATATGGTTCTAAAAGAAAGAATTTTAAACAGTGGGACCCTATGATTACCATATGCAATGGAAAAGGGACAGATCCCCAAATGTAAAAACAAAAGGGAGGACAGGCAAAATCAGCAACTTCTACAAAAGGCAAATGTGCAAATATTTGCATATTTCCTTCTCTTGCCTATAGCTCTGCCCAAGACTTCGAATACTCCATTAAATAAGAGTAGTGAAACTAGACATTGATCTCAGGAGCTAACAGTTTCAGTCCCATTGAGTATGATACTGACTTAGAAATACAGCTATATCATCAGATACTTAGCAAGATGTGTAGCGCTTTTGCTATTTACTCTGAGTGTCACTAGAGTGCATCAGAAACTGTCCCTGTCCTGTCACCTTGTAACAAGAAGACAGAGACAAAGAGGAAGTAGATAAACAGTAAGTGCAGAGCATTAGCCTGAGACTCAAACCCAGCATGGCTTGTGATAAAACCTTTCCCTCAAGAGTACAGACCCGGGGGCTGTGGCATATTAGGAGCCTTTAGGAGGAACGTGACTGCCCCAGGATTCAACCCAGGCCCAGAGGATACAAAATAAAATCATTCAGTTGGCTGCCCCACTCTATGTGTCTGATTCAGCCTGTTCAGAGATTTTCTAAAGAAGTGGTGTACAATGGTCTGTCTTCAAACCTAATTGTATTTTAAATGGTGGAGCCATTTGTGCTCTGAGGCAGTTCTCTTGGTAGCCTCTGCCACGACAGCTGTGATGTCCACTGTGGAACTCTGGCCTGTCCACAGCTGCTGATTTCACTCTTGCAACCCTGGAGCCTGACACGGGCATGACTCACAATACAGGCTCACAAACACATGGTCAACCAACAAGATGACTGCTCTCTGAGCCCGCCTGCCTGGCTTCAGGTGCTGAGAGCTCTTCAAACATAATCACAAGGAGACTGTGTCACTTTCTGCCCTGCGAAATCTACAGGAGAAAGTCTTTGCAAGAATCCCAAGGCCCTATTGGCTTCATGAACAATCTGTCGTGGGAGAGTAGAAGTGGTCTCCAGATTTCCCCCCTCCTAGCCCCACTATTTTTTTTTCCCCATAGAGATGCTGCCAAAGGAAAGAGAATTAGTTCTATTCACATGGCCCTGGAGTAAGGTCTTGCATTCCACAACACTCTCAGGTTACAGCTGGAGGTGGGGCTTCTTTCTGGGCCAAACTGAGCAAATGAACTGCCCATCTGGAAGCCTGAGCCATGGAAGCGGGGATGCCAAACCAGGCCAGGAGTCAGACATGGCAGGATTCAAGAAGAGCAGGGGGAGTGCACACACACACACACACACACACACGATATCATACATATGCTTACTTACAAATGCACACTCACACATTCACACTTGCACTCACCCACAAACCACCCACACCTACACACTCCCACACTTACACATATACACATACACACATATGCATACTCATAGTTGAACATACACACAGACACACATACACATCAGGGGAAAGAAGGGTCTAGACTATGCCAGACTCTATTTCATGCCTCACATACACATCACTTCAATTTCCTGGCAGTCCTTAAGATCCATGTTATTAGCACATATTTTGTGCAGAAGTAGAAGCTGCAGCAAGTCCCCAAGCTGGGGAGTGACAGCCCCCAGCCTTTTTGATCTCTCTCACCTAGTTCTCTCTTGCTTTATCAGCCAACTCCCAAGTTCTGTGCTTTATGAAGTATACATTTGGCCAATATCTGGAGGCTCTCTGCCATTTATTCAGATGTGGACTGCCCACTTTATAGAGTGGCTTCTTAACATAAAGATCATTAAGCTAGGGGCTGGGGTTTTGGCTCAGTGGTAGAACGCTAGCCTAGCACACATGAGGCCCTGGGTTCTATCCTCAGCACCACATAAAAATAAACAAGTGAAATGGAGATATTGTGTCCAATTACAACTAAAATAAATAAATAAGTATTTTTTTAAAAAAAAAGATTATTAAGCTGGAGTCAGCACCAACCAGCTCATTCAAAAAATATTTTATTCATTTATCTTATTTATTTATTTTTATTTTATTTTGCAACACTGGGGATTGAACCTGAGGGCACTTTACCTCTGAACGACACCTCCAGTCCTTTTTATTTTCTGAGAGATGTTCTCACTAAGCTGCTGAGGGTCTTGCTGAGTTGCTGAGGCTGGCTTCAAATTTGTGATCCTCCTGCCTCATCCTCCTGAGTCCCTGAAATTATGAACATTTGCCGTACTTCCAGCAAAAGAATACTTTTGTAATTTATGTAGAATAATCATCTTAACTCAGAAACAGGCTTCTCCCACTGAGCAAAGGGCAGAGTGAGGGCATCACTACCTCCCTCTTGGGGATCTTGGGCCTGCTGCTAGATGAGATGCACACAGGACATCAGCTGGGAAGGCTTGGCTTCCTATGGCAGCACTTAGCCCCCTGAATGGCGATCACAGCCTGTTTTGTCAACCACAGTGCTTGCTATTCCCCTATACCTGTCCCTCCTGTCCAGCTGAGCAGAGGTATTCCTTGTATTTTGTGCAATTCTGACCTCCTCATCTTTGTTTCTTTTTTTTTTTTTTATCTGCATGACTGGATGAGAAGTGGGGGGAGAGACAGAGAGAGGGCTTTTTTCAATGTCTACAGATCCTTCAAGGCCTTTTGAGTTAACCCCCCCACAGCAGGTGTTCGTGGGCTCTCATGCTCCTGTGGGAGGTGGCCTCTCCCTCTGACTGACCACTCTCTGGGATTCAAAAATCTACTTCAGTTGGATACAGTGGCACATGCCTATAATCCCAGCAACTTGGGAGACTCAGGAGGACTTCAAGCTCAAAGCCAGGATCAACAACTTAGCAAGTCCCTAAGCAATTTAGCAAGACCATGTCTCAAAATAAAAAAAAATAAAAAAGAGCTAGGGAGGCTCAGTGGTAAGATGCCTGTGGATTCAACCCCTAGCACCAACAAAACAAACAAACAAAAAAGCTACTTCCTCTCCGGCCTGCCCTGATTTTAGACAGAGTGAGTCATGTTTTATCTATCGAAGAAAAATCAAACGTATTATTAAAAAACTTAAATCAAAACTTTTTTTTCCTGGATAGTTTTGTACTGCTAGTCCTGGGTATTGGACCTCTACCATCACACATGCTCTCTGCCATGCCATGAACTTGACCTCCTCTATCATGCATAGCTGACCTCTGCCTCCACACATACATCTGATCTCCACCTTCACACACCTGATCTCCACCTTCACATACAGTTGACCTCAACTATTACACATTTAGGTCTATAATGTCATGAACTATGTAGTTTAATTTCAGGTATTTTAGAAAAGAAGGAGGGAGGGGGAAGGACGAAGGGGGAAGAGGGGAAGGGGGTGGAAGGAGGGGGAGAAGGAAGAAGGAGAAGGAGAAGAAAGGAAAAGAAAGAAGAAAAATTGAGAAAAACAAAATGTTACCAATTACAGGATCTCAGTAGGAGGGTAGGAAGTATGATGGTGAAGTTTGTGGTATTGTCCTGGTTTCCTATATTGGAAGACTTTCATATTTTAAAATATGGAGGAAGTGGGAGGCAATGGTGCATACCTATAATTCCAGCAGCACGGGAGGCTGAGACAGGAGGATTGCCAGCCTCAGCTGGGGCTGGGGCTCAGTGGTAGCTCACTGGCATGTGTGAGGCACTGGTTCAATTCTCAGCACCGCATATAAATAAATAAAACAAAGGTCTATCAACAACTAAAAAAAAAAAAAAAAAAAGCGAAGCTCAGCAACTTAGCAAGACCCTGTCTCAAAATAAAAAATAAAAAGTCTGGAAACATGGCTCAGTGGTTAAATGCCCTGGATTCAATCCCCAGAATCATATATATGTTTATGTGATATATATATATATATATATATAGTATATATATACTGCTTATTTGACTGACAGATGACTGACAAATACCATATTATATGGATAAGGACATAAAGTTCAATAGATACTGTGTAGTTGCTTTCTTGTACTGGGCCTGGGTCTTCAAAGTTTTTTTTTGTTACTAGTTTCTTTCATGAGTCATTTAAATGGCTTTTGAATATTAAAATCAGAGAACGCTGACCTGTCAAGAAAGGAGGTGGCTGGGCAGGTGCTGAGCAGTGAGGCCTGGAGGCTACCACATCTAGAACTCAGACCATGTACCATGGAGTCTCCATCTCTAAACTTGGCTTTTTCTATGTATGAAAATTTGAACATAAAAAAAGTTGTTTTTAAATCGTCTCTTCCACATCAGATGAGTCTGCCCAGGCCTCAAGTCCTCCAGCGCAAACTCAGGCAGAGCCCCGAGGCAATCAGGCATCAGGGTGGTTCATTTCCCTCTCAGTGACAGCCATAGTTAATGCCAAGGCGGGAGGAAGACGCATTCCATGCCACCGGCTGGCTGCTGGGGACTTGGAAAGTGTTTCTGCTTGACACAGCCTTGAAATAAAATAACGGGAACGTCTTGGCCTGTGACGAACCAAGCGGGAATGGAGCCCAGAGCTGCTTCAACTATAGAATCTTTGGCGTTGCTTTTCTTGGATGACTGGCTTTGTTAAAAAGCCCCATTTCCCCTCAGACACAGTCCATTGGTGACAGCCAGGGAGACTCAAGCAGTTGGAACTCACTCCTGGTCCCCAGGCTGGGACGGGAGGAGCAGAAAGGCATCCCCACAGTGAAGCAGGCACCTGGCCAGGAGGAATTTCCACCCTGAAGTGAGGAAGGTCCCTAGAACTTGGGGCCTCTGTGATAAAGGCACTGGCCTGCAGGACAGGACGCTGGTCTAATCTAGTGCTCACTGCCTGCGCTGGGGATTTGCTATCTTCTCAAAGGACAGGCAGCTGTCACCTTGGGAAGGTGGGCTACGGGCACCAGAATGGCTTTTGGTGAAAAAGAAGCAACACTTCTGGGTTCTGTAAGTCTCCTGATTGCTAAAGGTTGGCAGTAAACTCAGTCAAACACAGGAACACTGAAGGGGCCAAACCCTGTGCAAGCTGAACGCACTGGCTCTTTCTGCTGTGACCCACCCCATCCAGGCTCAAGTCCAGTTCCTGCTACTTTACAACCCAATTATTCACCCCTGGAGGGGGCCCCAGGGGAGACTGGGGTAACTCTAGAGGTCCCTGGTCAGAATTGGGAATGCCCCTGCCTCCCTCCTCACTCCTCCAGCTTCACTTCCTTCCATCTTTCCTTCTGTCCTTCCCTGGCTTGGCTCTGAGCCCTTTCCCTGGGCTCTCATGCTCTGTCCAGTCTCCCTGAATCCTGTCCATGGGATGGGACAACCCAACGCAAACCCACAAACTACCTTCCACCCAGGCAGCCGCCCCAGCTCTCAGTAAACTTGTCGTAGGCCGTCGGCTTTTCCAAGTCAGCTCATGACCAGCTCTCACTGCACCTCCTCTGTGTCAAAAACAAATACCCTCCACCCAGTGCTGCTCTGGAGGATCCACCCCTCACCTGGCTTTTCTCAGAGGACCAGGCCTAATGAGCTCATTGCCAATATTTTTATAATTAGTGAGATTCCAGATAAGCTATGGGGGAACAAGTCACCAGGCTCCAACGTGATACAGAGACAGCTCCTTCATCTTCCTTCTCAGGGACCCCTGGAGGCCAGCATGTGAAGTTCAGCGTCCAGAAGCACTCACACCACAGTCGGCAGTAGGGAAGGCTCATGAAGCTCTGTCTTCTCTTGGCAGAAGTAGGGTCATGACAGTGCTGTCACCAGAGAGAATATGGAGAGGGATAAACTTATGTCACCCACATGAAGCAGATGTGCAGGGAAGACACATCAATGCTGTCCCCATGGGAAGCCTATGTGGCACACCAAGAACGCAGAAAAAAAGCCCCAGGTGAAAAATCATTCTACCTGAGCATTCGCTTTCCTGCAGACTTTACTAGCTCTTGGGAAATGGGTACCTGTTGTAGACTGAATGTTTGTGTTCCTCAAAATCCATATGTTGGGCTAGGGATATAGCTCAGTTGGCAGAGTGTTTGCCTTGCATGCACAAAGCCCTGGGTTCAATCCCCAGCACCATAAATGAACAAACAAAAAAATCCATATGTTGAAGCTGCAACCTCCTAGGTGCCAGTACTAAGAGTTAGGGCCTGTGGAAGGTGATTGGAGTTAGAAGAGGTCATGAAGGTGGTGCCTTCATGATGGGATCGGTGTCCTTAGTGACCATTCTCCTTCCACATTAGGATGCAACAAGAAAGTGGCTATGTACAAGTGGGAAAGATGCCCCCATCAGAAACCAACCATGCTAACACCTTGGTATTGGACTTCTGGCCTCCAGAATGATGAGCAATAAATACCTTCTGTTCAAGTCAACCTGTCTGTAGTATTTTGTTATAGCAGCTCAAGCTGACTTAGACCGTCCTTCAACACACACCTCTTAGGCAGCAGCTGGCACTTCTCATTTGCCAAGAAGAGATGATTGTACACTTAGCTAAACTATCTGTGCATCCCAGCAAAGAACTTCACCCATGACACCAGCCTGAACTAAACATACTATGCTTTCTCCCTTAACCCAGTACCCAGTCCAGGTAATCCTAAGAGGGCTTCCCTAAGGAACACAAATGGGGTCAGTGTCAAAGGTAATAGTTATAATAATAATAATGTCGACTCGATATGGTACAGCTATGATGGCCTAGGGTATAAGCATTTCACATTCATTTTCTTTCTTTTTTGCAGTGGTCCTGGGAATTAAATCTAGGGTCTCACACATGGTAGGCAAGCACTGAGGTATATCTTCAGCCCTTTTTTATTTGATTTTGAGACAGGGTCTTGCTAAGTTTCCCAGGCTGGTCTCATACTTGCAGTCCTCATGCCTCAACCTCCCAAGTTGCTGGGATTACAGGCATGCACCACCACGACCAGCATTTACTATCTTTGAATCCCCGTCGTGACCCTATGAAGAAGCAGTATTATCTCTGTTTTGCAGAAGAGGAAACTAGGATACTAGGAACTTTGTCCAAGTTCCCACAACCAGTGCCAGATGGTCCAGGCTTTAGACCCTCATGCCTCAGACATCAAGCTAAATGCAGTGAATAAAAATTACAGGGAAAAGTTGTTGATTGAGGTCTCAATCTTTTCTTCCTTCCTCCTTTTCTTGGGCCCTGATATGTTATCTTTTTGATGTTACTTTTTAGAGAAAAAAGGAGGCAAAGACTAATATTAAAAACAAAGAAGCCAGCATGGTGGCACACGCCTGTAATCCCAATGGCTCAGGAACTGAGGCAGGAGGATGGCCAGTTCAAAGCCAGCCTCAGCAATGGTGAGGTGCTAAGTAAATCAGTAAGACCCTGACTCTAAATAAAATACATAAAAGGGCTGAGGATGTGGCTCAGTGGTCGGGTGCCCCTGAGTTCAATATCCGGTACCAAAAAAAAAAAAAAAATCAAAAAACTTCAGTTTACCAGCTCAGGTTGACCAAGCCTGGGGACAATGACTTGAAGCTGAGGCTGTGCAGAGACCACAATAATGTCTCCTCCCTGCTGTCAATACCAACTACCTTCCACCTGCCTTACATCTGCCCACATAGAATTGAGGGCTGCCTCGTATTTAAAAACCTGATTTTCAAATATTGTCAGCTGAATGCTCTGCTGTCAGAGGCCGGTGCGCCTATTGGCACCAGAAGTTTTCATCCACATCCCCCTATCACTCACACATATAGTGCATTTGTCATAGAAAAAAAGATACTGCTGATCTTGGAGCCCCTGGGGACCCCTGGCCACCCTCACACTGCAGCCACACAGAGCAGGCTTAAATTCTCACACTGCCGCTCTGCCCCAAGCCTCAGTAACTGCACCTTGGTGTTCTCATCCATGAAGGGGGCCAATAGGCCATGCCTTAAATGTTTATTTAAAGCCAACTAAGATCAAGGAACAATGATCCTGCAGTAAATATTTCTCTCCTTCTCCATCTGATAAGATGGTGTAGACACCTTTTCTAGAATGGCGTGGAAAGGCCAGAGGATGTGAGGAGATATGTGTGTTTAGGACAGTCCTTTGACGTAGAAAACAGGGGATTTCTATGTGAATTCAAAGTTGAAACCTGCTCAGTTTCACTATCATTCTTTATGACATTGAACATTGTTTCAGTTCCCTCCTGCACCCCGCATCTTGCCTGCAGAAGCCTCTCACCCCATGCCCGCCCTTGCCCTGGACCCTTCTGTTCTTGCTAAAACATGCAGGGAGTGGGTCGCTCCTCCCACCCTTTCTTCAAATCCCTCCCAGGGCTGCCTTTGGCCCTCCTCATGAAGGTCATAGCCTCCCCTGACCTGGCACCCTCTGTGAAGTCAGGCAGACCTCCTGGTCTCCCCCTGCCACAGCCTACACAGCCCACCTCCAGGAAGGTCTCTCAAACTCATTCTCTTCTGGACCCAAAGAGCCTACAGAGGTGAAGACTCCCTGGCCCCTACCCCAGGAGAATGCCTGACTTTTCCTCCTCGTGCTCCCATTCCACGGTGTACATCCCTGCTCAGGGCATTAATCTCTCTGTGCTAGCTATTCATTCATCTGTCTCCCCAGTGAGCTAACAACTCCCCCAAGGTCAAAGACTGTGACTTCACACCATAGCTGACACTTGGTGGGTATGCAATATCTGTGTAGAGGGAGGCTAGTGAGGAGTTCTCTCAGTGCCCTGAACCTGTGCCTACTGGCTAGAGCCTGAGTTCTTGTCCCCTGCCCATACTAGTGTCCTTCACAACACTTTCCTCATTGCTAAGGAACATTCCAAAGTTCTGAGTCTCTTCATGTATTAGCATAAGCGGGCAGTTTACATAAGTATAGTTTGGGTGTATATTTGGACTTATGTGTATATTGAGGGGATTTATCATGGAGACTAGTACACTCTTGCCTCATGAAGACTACCCAGTCACTTGATGGCTTAAACAAAATGCACCATCACATAGTTTCTGTGGGTGGGGGACTCAGAGAGGCCCAGCTGGTGGTTCTGGCTCACATTCTCTTTCCTTCAACTGTTAGCTGGGGCTGCACATCTGATGGCTTTCTGGGGGCCATCTACCTTCTTCAAGTTCACTGATGAGGCTGTTGGCTAAAGGTCTCAGTCTCTTGCCACTTGGGCATCACCCTTACCATGGAGACGCTTGTGATGTATACAGCCAGGTTGCCCCAGAGTGACAATCCAAGAGAAAGTGTGACCCAGATAGAAGTCACAAGGCCATCTTAAGCCTTAATCTCCAAGTCACACACTAAGACCTCTGCCAGGTACAGTTCTTCACAAGTGAGTCACAGAATCCATCCCCAACTTGGAGGGAAGGTTGTTTTAGTTGGCTTTTTCACTGCTGTGACAAAAATATCTGACAAGAACAATTTTTAGAGGAGAAAAAGCTTATTGGGCTCAGTTTCAGAGGTCTCCGTCCATAGGTGGCTGGCTCCAATGCTCTAGGTCCAAAGTGAGGCAGAATGTCATGGCAGCTCAGGACATGACCAGCAGGAAGCAGAGAGAGACTCCCCTCACCATGGACAAAATGTATGCCCCAAACGCATGTCCCACGAACCTACCTCCTCCAGCCACACCTTACCTGCCTGCAGTTACCATCCAGTTAATCCCTATCAGGAGCCTAATACACTGATTAGGTTGAGGTTCTCATGATCCAATCATTTTACCTCTAAACTTTCTTGCATTGTCTCAAACATAACTTTTCAGGGAACACCTAATATCCAAACCACAACAGAGATAAATGAGATTTTAAGGAAGGAATAACATGGGCCAACATTTTAAATGCACAACTAGTTTTCCCAGAAAAAGAAAATGTGTGTTGAATGAAATAATGGTGTAATACCTTTAATATATTGAGCTCTTGCAGTATTTTATGGATTTCAAATGCAAGCTTTCTTTTTTCTTCATATCTGAGCACCTCTGCAATCAAGAGCCATCTTTCAAATAACAAGCCTAGTTTCAGTGAGATGTGGTATGGGAGTGGGGGGCTCCATGCCCAGCATTAGTGCATTTAACCCTTATGTCAACCCTAAAGGGAGGGTTTGAAGAGGGCTGTGTTGAATGTGAACCCCTGCATATTTGTTTGAGACATTGAGTAACTTGTCTATTCTAATATCTGAACCAGGATAGAGCCACAAATGTGACCCCAGAGGCCTGACATCCATGGTCCTCCGTCTTAACACTGTATTGTTATAACAGTAATTTTAAAAAAGTATTTAGAAGGCTTCATTTCAATCACTTATTTCCATCCTACTATTCCAACCTCTTTTTTGTACCTCTTCAACATTTGGGCATGTCCCATTAGCTTTTTTAGCAACTTTTAAATTGGATTGAGTAACACCTAGAAAATTGATAAAGCACACTTCTGGGTGCATTTGTGAGGATGTTTCTAGAGCAGATTGGTATGTGGATCAGGAAACAGCATGAAGACCTGCCCTGAATTGGGGTGGTGCCATCCAGTAGGCTGGGGTATGGATAGAAAGAAGAAACAGAAGCTGGAAGCTCACACGCATGCACACCAGACTCGCCTGTAGCAGGTGCGCCTTTGCTGCTGCCATATCCCATGGACATTAGATGCAAGATTCTTCAGCCTTTGAAGGCAGATTTGCATCAGCAACTCTCCAGCCTCGAACTGGAGCTGCATCATCATTGGTTCCTCTTGTTCTGAGTCTTCCGGCTTCTTGAACCAAACAGCTATTAGTTCCTCTAGTTCTCCAGCCTGCAGATGCCATGTGGGACTATTTAGACTCCG